TCATACTAGACTGGCCTAGTCTAGTTGTAGCGAACAGCTCAGGTGCGGGGCTGTCAACCCCGTATAGATCTATACACAAACTCTCGCTCTCCCTCCAGGAGACTCTGGTTATAACTACAGGGCTTAAGGTTGTACACTAGGTAGGTACGGATGAAAGAACGTCTTACAAGAACCTTAACTAAATTTACGCGAACAGTGTATCACATTGTTTACCGTTTTAAAATAATGTTTCGAGCATGCATTTGATTACAAAACATTGGTGATGAAAATACCATTTGTTTTTACCAAAGTGTTAAGTATTGTTTGTTATTGGCCCGTTTAACATAAAATGTGTCGGGAGGCCCAATAAGAAAACCAATGGGCCTACAAGGCCCAAATAACATGTAATGAGAACATAAGGCCCAATAAGCTTGTAATTAGGTATTTAAGGCCCAATAAGCTTGTAATTAGGTATTTAAGGCCATATAAACATGAAATGTGTATATAAGGCCCATCAAACGCGTAAATGGGTCAATAAGGCCCAATAAGCTTGTAATTAGGTATTTAAGGCCCAATAAACATGAAATGCATATACAAGGCCCAATTAAAGTGGAAATGTCGTAATTAGCCTGATTGTTATTGTAATACTTGTTTTAGTTCCATTATTTACCAAAATAACATAAAAGACCCACTTTTAGTAAAAATGACATTCTTGGCCCATTAAGCCGAGAATTTATATTAGATGTCCATTTTTGATAAAAATGACACTTTAGGCCCATTAAGACCGAAAGTTTACATTTAAGGGCCCATTTTGAATAAAATGACATTTTTAGCCCACTTTTGTTAGAAATAACATTTTCGGCCCAAATAAATTGGAAATGACATTTTCGGCCCAAATTTAATAAAAATGACATTTTAGTCCATAGAGGCCAAAAATTATGTTTTAGGCCCATGAAACCATAAATTTCTAAATAAGGCCCATTTTTATAAAAATTGATCATCTTAGCCTATTAAAACAGTGAAGGCCCAAAAAAAAAACCCATTTTGTGAAAATTAACACTTTTGGCCACTTTAAAACCATGAATATCATAAAGATCCATTTTTATCTAAAAATGACTATTTTGGTTCTCTCAAAACCGTGAGTTAACATAAAGACTTCACTTTTTTGTTTATTTGTCAAATTTTGCCCCTTTTACGGTTTTATTTAGTTTCCTAATATTCCTTAACATGTTTAATCCTTTCAACTTCATAGTAAGTTTCATAAAGTGATTTAGTTTCCACACATCAGCAAGTTGTAGTAGATATTTCGAGTTTGGTGAAGGTTTAACAATTTTTCATAGCATAATCACAACATATAACATGAAAACACACACATACATGCATAAATACTTAGATCTAACACAAAAAGCAACTTGTATTCTCCCCCAAAACATATTAAAACCGAAAACAAGGGGGTATGAACTCAACTTGGGTGATGGATTCGGTTTTGATGAGGAAATCAAAAGGAATGGAGGTGTTTTTGGTCTAGCTTGCTCCTTTGATGAGTTTTTCAGACTTAGAAAGTTCTAAGAAGCAAGAAGAACAAAATGGAGTGTTTATGAGTGATAAGTTCAACATAAAAATGAAGTTAAACTTCTTGAATAGAAGTAGCTTACCAAGAATGAATGAGCTTTGATGAAGTATCCTTGAACACATACACAAGCACGCATGAATTTTGAAGAGGAAGAATGAATGAGTTCTTTGTAGCTTTAGAGAGAAATGGGAGTTTGAATTTGAGATGAAATGTGGGTGAGGGTGAAGGGTTTCGACCGAGCGTTTTAAGGAGGAAAGAGATAGATTGGTTTTGGGTATTACATGGAGGATTAGGAGACTTAACATGGAAATATGTGATGCAAATGGCATGGATTTCCATTAAGTAATAGTGATGTGTCAAGTTGTCATCCCATTCTTATTATTATTTTTTTTCCTTTTTTTTATCAAAAGCCGAGGATGAGGGGGAAGGAAAGAAAAGAATAAGTGTTGGGCTTGAATAAAATAGCAACCTCAAATATATGGCCCAATAAGAAATCTTCGGCCCATTGGGCCCACATACTAGTTCTCGGCCCAGAAGAGGTAAAACAATGGGTTTTCGGCCCATAGAGATGAGTTGCATGGTTTTTGGCCCAATAAGGCCCTTGAAGAGTTTTGTAGCCCAATCATAAATTTTTAATGACTTTCAGCCCAACTAGGGCCCAAATGTGGTTCTTAGCCCAAATGAATCAAGGTGAGGGTTAATTGACCCATTAGGCCCAATAAGAGGATCTTGGTCCAATAAGAGATTTGAATCGGAAAGTTAGGGTTACAACCCAAAGTTGAGTGAATATAACACATTGAATTAGGTTTAGGGCTTCACGAGTGAGTTTTGATTCGAATTGTCGTTGTTGAATGAATATCTTGCATTGTATCAACATTAGGGTTATAATGTATGCTAGAAGTTAAATACACATTGATAGAATTTCCTAGCCCTTAAATGCTAGTTGTGACATATATATATATATATATATATATATATATATATATATATATATATATATATATATATATATATATATATATATATAGGGTTAGGTTATAATGTGGATGATATCTATTGTGTGCTCGTAAGGATAAATCTAGACCAATTGATGAAAATAATAAGTGGTTGTAATGTGAGAGTCTATGATATGAAAATGGAATAACATGTACCATATAATCAAAATAAATTTTGATTATAAGGGTATTTTAGTCAATTAAGCTTTATTTAAATAAGGAAAATTTTGGATTTTATGGGATAATTAATTCTCTTAATTTTAAATTCTAATTTCGTTAATTAATTTAATTTCAATTCTAACATAATTCACAATCAAAACTGATTTTATTCGGTAAGAATATCATTTTGTTAGAGTGACATTCTATGAGAATGTCAAACATAAACTAATAAAGACTCTTGAATCTTGAAAGCCGAGGTTTTCTCCGGTAAGAATAAAAACTAGATCATTGTCCAAGAATGAATCGAATAACATAGCACTTAAATGGTAAAAATGTTAATTTAGAATATATTCTTGCATAATTTGTTTTCATATTTGTGAGAATGATCCTAAAATACAATTAACAACCGAAATAGAGCAGAAGAATAAAAATTCTTAGTAAACATTCTTAAAATTCATGAAAGAACAATTCTCTTCTTCTTGGTTCGTTTCCAGCAAGTATGTAATATAGCACAAAAATGAAGCTTTATTTTTGAAATAATATTCTATCATTGACCTGTAAACATAATAAGAGACATTGTGTAAGAATGATTTTAAACTGTAATTAAAAAAAGAAATTGTAAAAGACTCAAACAATACGTCGCCATAGATATTATAAATTCAATGCATTCTAAAAGAATAAAATATAAATTCTGATAGAATGTGGTAGACATTAAAAAATTACAATTTATTTTTAAGAACACAATACAACGATTCTGATAGAATATAATGCTCGAATCACTAATTGATCGAAAATAAAATAAATAAATTAAACAAAATATATACAAACATAATAAAAATTGATTGACATTAATTCGTAATCCATATATATGTGCACCACATGTGTGTTTCTCGGTATCAAAAAGATAAATCGAACTTCTTACGTATATATAAAATAATCATGTTCATTATATTGTCATTCACAACCGAACGATAATATAAAAATTATAGTTCCACCGTCAAGTTATTTGTTTTCTAAAAATTGCTCATTATTGACTAGCAAAAAAATAAAATAAAATCTATCAGTGGCATGTTTTGATTGTTCATTGAGCTAGTGTTGCACATACACACGAAGTAATGTCACATTTTGATTAAAAATGGGAATTTTTAAGAAACAATAAGTCAGACCCTTTCTTCATCCATTTCTACTTCTCTTTTAACATGTGTTCATAATTTATATATTAAAAGTAAGAAACCACAGACATTATCCAAAGATGTGTATTGTAAATTGTAACACACAAGATTTAATAGAAGAATCAGAATGAACGTTTTGATTATCTACCAACTCTAAAGTTGTCGATTCATTTTGTAAAAAATAAATTTTTGTCATGATGACCTAATGAACACTTCATAAGAAAACCATATGATTATATAAATAATATCTTTGAAAACTGGTATAATTTCAAGGTATAGTTGCAAAATAGTAAGCAGAAATAGTGTATAATTCTTAATAAAAATATAACACAAAAAATCAACAACATTAGCGGAGTGAACTACTGTTATCGATTAATTACAATTTAGATTAGATTACCTCTCCTACGAAACAAATGTAGATGATGGCGGTGGTGGTCGATGTTGGAATGGGAAGCGCTATCTCTTCGATTTGCAGGTGGGAAGGAAAATAATGAAAAACAGGGAAGGAAAAGAAAGTGGAAGTTCTGATACGCTCTGGTTATCGCGGAAGTAAGTAGTGGTTGACGATGGTGTTGGTCGGCGATGGTACTTGGACGATGGGTAGGAGGCGTTGGAGATGAAGATCATAGAGATGATTTAGGTTATAATGTTGAATATCCTACATTCCTTAAGTAATGAATTAAATTAAAGATAATTATTAGTTTCCTAATTAGTAGTTATATAATAACTAATTTTATTTACCAATTTACTATACTATCCTTATGTATTTAATTAATGATTTAATTTTTTTCTTAATTCTTATTGGTTCCTACATCCACATAATATAGTTATACATCCACATTTGAATATATATATATATATATATATATATATATATACTAGATGAGGAAACCCGCTTTGCGGGGATGGATTTGGACAGCTCCGATCATTTTGGTCACTTCGTGCTTGCCAACCGACTTTATAATAGAAGAAAGTCTAAATTGACCATAATACCCTTGTTTCAAAATTGTATGAATTCTTTCGGAAACATATTAGATTAAAGGGATCACACATGAGTAGCATAGTATTAGATTACATGAACTTTAAAACCATACAATTAACAAAAAACGTTATCTGTGTTTTCACATGATAGCTTAAATAGTTATACAACTGATTGCAATTAATGACATTCGCGTTCACATAAGTTATAAACGAATTAATTAATTTACCTTTTGTCACTTCTAGATCCCAAAGTTTTATCACACCTGAAGAAGCTCCAGCAGCCACTACAACTTCTGCTAAATCAAAAGCTATAAAATAGATGTTCAATGTACAAATAAAAGTATGTTGCTATACACTGCATCTGTTCTTTGTGGGTAGCCCCTAGACTATTTAGGGCATAATTACACAAAGCCACCTTAACAAATACAAAAATAATGTCGGCTACCCTGTAAATAATAGACTAATATTTGCAGATGAAATTTGGTTTAGGCTTTAGGCCCTGAGCACCAGCAAAAGGATCTAAATCAGGACAAAAAAAATCATTAGAATGGAAAAAAAAAATACTAAGAATCCACGTATTGTGATTCTCTTGTATATAATTAATATTGTATTACTACTTTTCATAAACAGAAAGAAAAGAAAAACGAAATTTTATATTAAGTCCTTAACTTTTTACAAAATTGCCCTCGAGTATTACATCATAATTTGAAATTTATATATAATATAGCAATGTCATATAAAGAAAAAGTAATTTCCAAGTGATTGCATTAGCTGTTCCATCCTTATTTGTCACATTTAATCATAAATAAAAGTAAGGTACTATATGTTTAGTGTTTACTTTGTTATTATACTGATGATCATGTTCAGATTTAAGGGAAAAGAACATAACCTTTATGCTTAAATATATGAATAACCATTCTAGATAAAAATATATATATATATATATAAAGACAACTTTAAAGAAGTCTATGTAACAAATTTATGGCCATTATCTATCAAGAATTCAAGATAAATCATAAAATGAAAAGAAATTGCTTACTTGATAGCAGCTTTGATGTCATAATATGTGACATATTTTTCTAATCTAACAGTTGGGAGACAGAAGAGAATCAAGCAACACTCTCATATAATAATGCATAGGAAGAAATGAAAGTAAGATGCTATAATTTATACAAATCGGCAAAATTAAGTTCCTATTTCTTGTATTTAACCCTTAATTAAGGTTTTATATTTTGTACATGAAAATCCTACAAAAATCCATACACAAGTCCGCTGTAAGCGGAGCCAACCTAAAATGAAATCGGTGATAGGCACTTAAAATGAAAATTGTGAGAATATGTGTACTTACTTATTTTTCTTTATCAGCATGTTAATGAATAAATATTTCGTTTATCATCTACCATATACTGCCATGTACAAAAATATCCATATCAATACATAGAGAAACATAAAATATTGGCATACCTTCTTCATGGATATTTATCTCAATGGAAGATGAAGAAAAAGACTCTTTTCATTGATAATTGGTCCTGTCACAAAATTCAGACAAAAAAAAACGAAAAACGAAAAAAAAAAAAAAAAAAAAACATTAAACCTAAATTTAAACCTCAGAGACTAACATCATAGGTAAAAAACAACAACATACCCCAAGAGAGGAAAAAACATACTGATTAACCCTTTCAATGATCATGTTACGTCGGCCCAAATTCATGGGTTTATCATCAACATGAAAAAGCATATATTATTTCCTGCAAGTTTCCTTCAAATAAATAATATATATAAGCATTATCCAGAGTCAATTTTCAAAGTTAATAGGATCCATCTTCTCACCATGTGGACAACATATATATTGGAAGTTTGAATCGACAACAATGTTGATTTCGATTCTGATTAACGGGGGCTCCGAAGCCCTGATCGAGAGGATTGAGAAAAAACGGAAGCAACCTTCCTGAAAGTGTCGATTTTCCAGAATACACATGACAAACCTGCAAATGTCAGATAGAACTTAGAAGTTACGAAGAAGCTGGCAGCAGGATGAAGATATGCTGACACAAATTAGATTACATCTGCACTTGCAAACCTGGTTTGTATTTAGGCACGATGAAACGATTGCAAGAAAGAAGATAATTTTGGGAAAACAAAATACCTAATTAGGACCCTTAAGAATTGAGTCGTCGACTTTCTTGATGAAAGCCCTAATTTTCATAAAGAGGGGGATTTGTGGAATAAAGCATCCGAAAATAAACCCTTCGTGGACAGATAAAAGCCTATACCGGAGGAATCGAAACTTGATTGGTCGACATACCGAAAATAAACCCTTCGTGGACAGATAAAACTTACAAATGGCATGGTGAAGGCGATGAGACCGACATAAAACAACGATAGATACCTGATCAATTTTGATGTCGCCATGTCGGTCCACATCGGAGTACCAGCAGAAGGTTGTAGAAGTTGGTGGGTCTTGTAGGTTTTCTATGAAGAAATCAGAAGAAGCCGACTTCAGCAACCACGACCGTTGTTCCTCGTCTTCGTTTTTTTTTGGTGAATTAAAGCAAGCAGTGGGGGGAATCGGTGGAATGATGGAGCGCGTAGAATCTGAAAAGCGAACGTCATCTGTAGTCGACACCGCCATTGACGAAGATGTTGAGTAACAGTGAGCGTTGGAGAAAACCATGGAAAGCAGTCGGTTAGCAATTCGTTGATTCTGATCAACCGGAATCGAGTTCAGAGTGAGGCGGTGGTTTGGAGGTGGGTAGGGAATGGAAGGAACTGGAGAGTGATCGTCTCCAAAAGACAGAGGCAGATAGAAAGAAATAGACGGCGGTGGAAGTGTATGTGATTGGGCGAGGGAGACGGTGTGACGGGGGCGGTTACTATGGTTGAGGAATTGAACCCGAGGAACAATACCATGGTTAGGTACTGTTCCTAACAATTGTCCAAGTTTAATATGTATATATAATTAGGGCATTAAGTGTTGAAACCAATGAGCAATTGACAATTGTATAATAGTTTATTGATTTATAAATACTGTTAGGATAAATAAAATTGCGTTAAAAGGGCACTAAAGTAAATTTAGTGGATTAGGCGGCAAAGTCTATCAAATTTAAGCGTGAACGGTTATGATTTTTGAGGGATCGGTTTTATGTTACTGTCGACGAAGGAATGGTTTATATGTTGTTTTATTATATCGCAACTGTTCTAAAAAATTTGCTCATGAGTATATTTGATACTCTTTGAAAAGCAAATGTAACGTATGCACACTAAAAACAAAATTTGTCATTATCACTTGTTCTATTACTTAACATGTACACATCCAGGGCCCGGTTAGTTTTTCATACCCGGGGTGATATTATAAATCAATGCCCCTATATTTGTTCCATATGATAGACCCAAGTACCCAAAACATATATAAATAGAATAAACAAAAGTGCAAGATATTTATAAACAAAAAAAACCAAAAATCCGATATGCATAAACACTTTAGGATCTAAACTCTCAAAAACTGAATGCAGAGTAAATTGGTATATGTATAAAGAACTATGTAAATAATAAATGTATATATAACGATGATTTTACCCTTAAAGGTAACTATATTTAATCCACAATATGATCAATTACTTAAAGTGAACACCATCTACCTCTTTAATCTACCTCTTTAACATATGATGGTAACAGGAACAAATTAAATCAATTGTGACAATATCTAGCACACATATTTTGCCTTCATGGATTTAAAATCAATAGCCATTTGAGAACAAAAGTTTCTAAACAAAAAGTTTTTCAAACTAGTAACTATAGATGATGAAGGGCTCTTATGTCATCCTCTGAGCATCTTTCTTGGCAAGCTGCAGCGTTTTCAAAAGAACAATGAGTAAAAAACAAGCTAGCATGCAGTCGATTCACATCAAATAAACATCAAAAGTTTAAGAATGAAAGAAGGATGCACAACACAATAGCATCAAGTCATCAACAAACGAAATGATAAATAATCTTATTTTCATTCATATCAAACAGCTAAGGTATAGTTGTATTAAAATATAAGGTTATTTTCGAAAAAGTCAATATTAATTTTCCACATTTTGATAGATTTATTGACAAACAATGTTTTTTGGAAAACATTAGCTTAATTAAAAGCGGATATGATCTAATAAGGAGGGTGACAGATTCTTTTAGAAGACATGAAATTTGCAGAAGAAACCTAAACTAACTTGAAGTCACTATGATTATACCTAAACAAGATAGATTTACCAGGACAATTATCATGAATATTAGCAGAAAAAACATAAATTAACTTGAAACTACTAAAAATGAAACAACTGTGATCAAACTTCAAAAACAAAATCCATAGTTGACGATATGATAAATTAGAAATCAAAGATCCATAATTCGAACTCCAATTGGGCTACTCCTTAAGAAAACCAGAAAAAAAATACCTTTTGAACCAAACTACTGTAATCAAACAAATAAATATCAAATCAAAGATACACATTCCGAACACAAAATAGTCAACTACCTACTAAAGGCTTCTAACTCCAAGTCTCCAACTTCGAACTCGAATTCATACAAATCGGGAATCAACACAATCAGAAAAGTGATAATTAAACAGTAGAATATGGGAATCAGAATTTGGAATCAGAATACACGATTGAAAATCTTATGATACGAGCCCAATTACAACAGCCCCACCCCTACCTAAAGAGCCCAACACAAAGCCCAAGTGAAATACTTCCAGCTCGTTACGTGAATAAAGTAGAGATTAACCCTAGTCTTCATTACTTCTTGTCGTTTGCATCATGTAGGAGACCGTGTTTCTTCACAAGAACCGGTCATAGTCACGTTAGTCGTTTTAGCTCATGTTTTCCTATTTTCTAGCTGATAGTTCTATTTATGCATTGCATTGTAATTTCTTTGAGGATATGATTAAGAAAATTGTTGCAATCTTTTGTGTTCTTCTTTTTGAATTCTGGGAGATTAGCCATCTCAAAAAAGGCTTCTATCATCTTAGTTCGAACTCCAACTAACACAAAGCGCCAAATCGAAAATCAGAAATATGAGAATATGAGAAATCAGAAATAAAAATCAAAGTTAGATATAAGGATTCAGTCGATTTAGAGATGGTCTTTCAGACTCCTCGATCTTCTACATGTTCGTTCTTATAGGTGTCGATTCGCAATCAGCCAATCACAGATGCCATCACTTCAATTATTTCACATCTTCGCGCCCATGCCTTTGCGTCGTTGCCTCCAGTCGTTGTGTAGATTAGAAGAAAATCAGGTGTCTATCAGACTAATTTTTTTTGGGCCAAACTGGTATATGCTGATAAATTGATGCCCTTTTAAACTTGCTGCCCTGGGCCTTAGCCCATCTCACCCAGGTATTGGGTCGGGCCTGTACACATCATTCAAACGGTTAAACATATAAAGATTTTTTTATGAAATAAGGACACGTGTACAAACAAGAAAAAAAAAAGAAATTGTAATTGATTACCATGTATATTCCTTTATATTTATTTATCCTGTTTTTTGAAAAATGTACATATACTTTCCTAGAAAACGGTTGAGAACACGTGGTGTTATGTAACACCCGTTTCAGATATGAGTCTAAATTGCAAATGATTAAATGCTTTCTGGTGGCCACGGTGTGGTGGAGTTTCACCAAGGCGTGGAAATTCTTTATGGGCCGCGGGCTTTTGATGGACCACCACGGCGTGGCAATAGGTGTCACAGCGTGGTAGCCGTTGTTGGAGAAAACCCCTAATTTTTAGGGTTTGAACCCTATTTAAGCATAATTAACCCCAATACATTTTACCCTCATCAGCCTCCATTGTCTACTCTGTTTCTTTCAAACCCTAATCTCCATTGGTGGTGTTTTGAGCTTATTTTGGTAATTGGTGTCCATTGTATAGGGAAGGAAGCCATTGGAAAGCAAGAAGAGAGCTCCAAGCTTTGTAGATCTAAGTTGTACACTTCTTCCGCAACCCCCAGGAGGTATAAAGTTCTGAACTTGATGATTATCTCTCTAGATCTTTCTAATGTTAGAAGTTATGTGCTTTTAGTCCCATATTTTTGGTCTATATGAGTTGCCTTTTTGGACGTTTTGGGGTGTTTAGAGTTATAAAAATAAAATCTTGGCCTTTCCTTTCCTCCATGCATGCATTTGGTGACTTGTAGCATTGTGAAATGTTAGGGTTTAAGATTTCGACACTTTATAGTCATGCAAAGTCATAAATTTGGAAACTTTATGACTTGGAATGTTATTTGGGATAAAAACTAAGTTTTAAACGAAAGGACTTTAGGGATTAGGAGCTTAATGTTTAAGCTGTGTTGAGTTTTTGCTCTTTTTGAACTTAGAATTCGAGATCCCTACTCTTTAGAGGGACTTAAGGAATAAAGTTGGAACTTTATCTATTTAGACCCTAGAATAGACCACATTTGGGCTTTGGAGCCTCTAAGATCGAAAAAAGTGACTTATTCCATTAAGATATTTGGGGAACAGTGACCACGACGTGGTTTGGACCACCACGGCGTGGCGACTTGGCTAAGGATCATCTGTTTTGGCGTTTTGTGGCCACGACGTGGCGATCAGCTGTAGGTTGACTTTTCACTTTAACCTTTGACTAGTTTTGACCAAGTTGACCTAAGGGTATTTTAGGTATTCTGAGTTGTATATTGGTCCCTATTTGATGAATATATGACGGGTAGAGTTGAGATTTAGAGCAGAGATCTATTTAGCGATTTGTTCAGACTTAGAGGTGTGTCTTACCACTGTACTTGGGGGTCGAAGGCACCAATGTCGGCCCGGTAGAATATGAATCATTGTCTAGGATGTTGTTATATGGTAGTGATCTGTATATCAACCTATTTGTCTGATGACTGGTTATATGTTTATATGTTTGTTGGATATATGTTATATGTTATGTATATGTTCACATAATATGGTTGAGTTGAAGTAGTACTGCTTTGTATGGTAGCCAATAAACTGGGAGCAAGCCAAACATAAGTTGTTGGCCTGAAAGGGCAAGCCAAACGTATGTTGTAGGCTAGGGAGCAAGCTAGATATGAGATGTGGGCCTGAAAGGAAAGCCAGACTCATACTGTGGACTCAGGGTTAATCCAGTTTGTTAGCTGTTGAACCAGTATATGTTGTTATATGTTGTGTGTGGTGGTACTTTGGGGGAACTCACTAAGCTTTGGCTTACAGTTTTAGTTTATTGTTTCAGGTACTTCAGATGACTGTGGCAAGAAGACGGCATGATCGTGCACATCCTTAGGTTTTATGTTATTTGGATTTTGGGATACTATGATTACTGAAATACACTTTTGAAATAATGGTTTTGTAAACATTTATAGTTTTGGGTTGTTTTTGAAAATTTAAAATTTATTGAGATTTTTAGGATGTTACAAGTTGGTATCAGAGTCTTGGTTTGAGAGAATTGGATGAACATTCGTGTGAATCCAGACTCAAAATAAGGAACGACAAAAGTTTTAAAACGGTTTTCAAAATTGTTTTCGAAAGTAACGAATGAAGGATGCGATGTGTACAATCGGCTAGGGCAAGAAAGTATACCCCAAGTTACCATAATGTTATCTGATATGATGTTTATGATAGAACATCATGCTAGTGATAGGATAGGGATCTTTGGGAATTTCATGATAGAATTGCCTGATGTATGATGCCTAATAGCCTAGGATTACTTCTTGTATGGAATTCACATAATTATTGTAGTTTCTCAGTGTATGCATCACAGTTGTAAATAACTATGATTTTATAGCCTGAGAATGTTTGGTTTGTCCTTATTTCTTATTCTTGTTTGATGAAGGGCTTGGCGTAGAATCAAGTATTCAACTATCTATAGGAACTGGTGTTATGTATGATTAGCATACGCGAGTGCTGCATGGTCGGTGGAAGTTTCATGGATGAGTATATGTGTGAGCAACCGGCCAGATGAGGAATATTTAGCCACTCTCGAGAGAGTGAGGATAGGATGTATGTGCATCCTTGTTGTTGTAATTGTGTTTGGATGTTGTGATGATCCTTAATACAAATACGGGTAGGTGTGGAAGGTAGTATGGGCATGTACTACTGAAAGCACAGGACCCGTACGTGTAGCAAGGAAGTCACAAACACCAAGGGTTTAGTCTCATCTCGTGATTGTAGTAATGTGTATTGTGGAAATTGTAATATATTCTGGTTTATTTTCAGTATGGTGTTTACGAGAGGATCTGGTTCTAAAGTTGGAGTGAGTGGCCAGGATAGGCCAGGTTTGATTGATGATCCGATACGGGAGATGATTACCGCTGAGGTGGCTACTGTCGTCCGGAGATCGATTCCAGAGTTTTTTGGGTCTATCAAGACCAACATGATTGAGCTTTTCAAGATTGATATGTTTCACTTTCTGACGATGTTGTTGTTGCAGCTATCACAGCTGTTGTTGCCGCAAGGGTTCGAGAGGATAGAGCTTTCCAGTACCAGGACTTCGACAATATGAAGCCCCCAGAGTTTGATGGGGTCAAGGACCCGATTTTGCTGATGAGGTGGATGTATGATGTGGAGGGTTGTTTCTTCACATGATCTTGCCCTGCTGACCAGAAGCTCAAGTGCGCCTTGAACCTTCTTCGGTCAAGTGCGAAGGATTAGTGGAGATTGGTGACTGACTCTTATACTCCTGAGTTGAAAGCTGATGTTACTTAGGAGCAGTTCTTTGAGATGTTCCGTTCGAGGTATGTTCCATTGGTGGAGTAGGAGATATTTTCTCAAGAGTATATAGATCTAAGACAGAGGACTGAGACGGTGACATAGATCACCAAGATGTTTACCGAGAGGGCTCTTTTCTGCCCTAAGTTTGTTGCTTCTGAGCAGGCTTAGATGACTCGGTACTTAAGCATTCTAAAGACAGATATTCGGCAGTTCGTGTCCACACAGCGTTATGGTAACCTTGCCGAGCTTCAGAAGGCTGCGAGGAGGAGGGATATTAAGATAGAGCTCCAATCTAGGGAGCTGAGGCAGTCTCATGTTCAATCACATCCTGCAGCGAAGCAGATCAACCCCACTGATTCGAGATCTAGGGGGACAGAGGGGTTGCACTCGTGGAAATTGAAACAAGGTTCATGATGATGCCTACCCATCTTCATCTGCATTCAAATGTGGCAAGGAGGGGTATTATGCCAAGGATTGTCGTCAGCAGGTCCCAATACCAAGCACCCATATATGTTATCACTGTGAGCAGTGTAAGGGTCGAATTGTTGTAATTAGTCGAAATATATTTTGTACTCTTCAAATGTTTTGTAATATATTTTACTAGGGCGCTTTTATTCGAAGCTTTAGAGTCAATGCCTTAGTATATTTTTTGTACGCTTTCGGTTCCCTATAAATAGGTGTTATTTACTAGAGTTAGATAAGAGTTTTTACAGACCTGTCTATTTTCTCTGTAAACATTCGAAAGCGTAAATCAAGCTGAAACAAGATCATATTTACATCTGGTGTTCAATCTTGCATTCATACTTGAATTCATACTCTGATTAATTCAATACTCGATTCATTGGTTCATCAATTGGTATCAGAGCAGGAATCATATCTCTGATCTGATTTTCACGCTGTTCAAAAAGTTTTTGAATCAACTTTTTGATTCAAAAGTTTCCGCACTTTTTGAAAGTGAAAAATTGTCTAGATCTTAGTCTGTGATTCGATTCTGCATTTGAATTTGTTGAATCGAGTGTTATTCTCATCAATTCGATTTGATTCATCTAGTTTGTTTTCAAATTCTCAAATCTTTTCAAACTTCTCAAAATCATCTTCCGTACAACAATGGCGAGTTTCAATCTCAATTCGATGACCTCGTTTTCTCATCTATTAGGTTCATCAACCAAAATTCCAATGCTAATCCCTGAATACTATGATCAGTGGGCTGATCGTATGCAAGATTATCTGAATGGTCTGGATGAAGAATTATGGTCATGTATCACTGGAAATGTCAATGTTCCAGTGAATGTTCAACCAATTGTATCATCTTCTACAAATTCTGGATTTGATAATCAATCTGATCGTCTGAAGAAACTGGAGAAGAGGTGTATGAGGGAACTGCGAGGTGCTTTACCTCCAGTTGTGTACAATTACGTTAGAAGTTGTACAACTGCAAAGGAGGTATGGAACAATCTGAAAGATAAGTTTCAAGGAAGTGAGAAAACAAAATCAATTCAGTCAAACAGTGTTTGGTTGAACTGAAAGATTTCAAACAAAAAGAAGGAGAAACAATTGAAGTTTACTATGATCGTCTGAACGAGGTAATCTATCGTTGCAATCACTATGGAATTACCAGGACTTAAATGGAATTCAATCTCATCTTTGTAATGGGGCTTCGAAAAGAGTGGAGAAGTGTGAGTATGATGGTGAAGAATCAAC